TTGGGGGTGATCTGTTATGTAGCAAATGTTAACTGGAATATAGAATGGTTTTGTTTATTCATTTTCATGGAAAGTTGAGTTAATTAGTATAAGATTTCATGAGACATTTGGGACAAAGTCACTGATGTATATCAGGACCTATATCAGCTGACTTGCTGCCTCTAGCCAAAGGCACACTGTTCTAGGAAGTGCATTTCAAGGAGGCACTGGGAGAAAATGACTGGTAAATCAATACACAATAGAAAGTAAGGAAAGGGAAAATTTTTTTACTCTTGGGTTTCATTTTTTTTGCTCTCACAAATGAAAACTCTCAAAAATTGTATAAATTATGGTTTGTCAGAGGTCAGATTTATCTTTTTTTTTAAAGATTTATTTATTTATGCGTACAAGAACTGGGGTATAGGCCAGAGGTGCAGGGGTAGGTAAGAGGATTCAGACAGAGTGGGGAGCAGAACAGGCAGACTGACTGAAATACACTGCTGGGGGGAGCAGTGGGTGAGACAGGAGAGGTCTGTTCTGCCATGTGGGTCACCTCCCTGGCAGGAAGGGGCATGGCAGTGGGGGTGGGAGTCCGGGTGGAGGAGAACTCGTGCTGCAATGGCTGCAGATTGCTTCATAGTGCTGACTCTTAGCCCCTTGCACCACGAGGAAGGCCCCAGATTTATCTTTTTTAGGTTGTTTTGAAGTTCTTTTTGTGGTTTCATTTATGGGCAATTAGAACTACTTTATCAACTGTATTTTTTTGTTAAAGTCAGTTTTTTGAAATATCATATATCCAATAAAATACACACTTTTCAGGTGTACAGTTATGTGAGTTTTGTTAAGTGTGAAAGGTCAAAACCTCCACCAGATATAAAATATTTGCAATAGATGGTGTCTAACCCCCTCAAAAACTTCCTTTGTGCTCCTTCATACTCAGTCACCTCTTTCCCACCCCTCTCCCTAGTAACCACTGATCTCATTCTGTCCTAGAGTTATGTCTTCCTCACAATGTCATGTAAGTAGGATCATACAGTATGTGTTCCCTTTGATGGAGCTGGTTCTTTTCATTAGCAAAATGACTTTGAGATTTGTTCAAAATAATAATCTATTATTTCAGATTATTATTATTGTTTTTTTAAAAGATTTATTTTGTTATTTGTACAATAGCTGGGGTACAGTACAGAGGCGCGGGAGGGTGAGAGGATTCACCAGAGACAGAGCAGGGAGCAGAACAGGCAGACGGACAGAAAGCACTGCTGAGGGCAGCAGCGGGCGTGACAGAAGTCTGCCACGCCATGTGGGAATCTCCCTGACTGGCCGGGAATCGAACTCGTGCTGCCGAGGCTACAGACAGCCTCATAGCCCTGAGCTCAACCTGCTGCACCACCGGGGAAGCCCCTATTATTATTATTTTTAAAGATTGATTTATTTATGCATACAAGAACTGGGGTGCAGGCCAGAGGTGTGGGGGGTCGGTGAGGGGAATAGAACAGGCAGATAGATAGAAATACACTGCTGAGGGGAGTAGCGGGTGAAACAGGAGAGGTCTGCTGCGCCATGTGGGTAGCTCCCTGCCAGTGGATGGAACTCATGCCGTAGTGGCTGCAGATAGCTTCATAGGTTGTGTCTTAACCCCTTGCACCACCAGGGAGGCCCTCAGATTATTATTTTTAAACTGCACCAATTATATGAAGTTTGCATGTGTATTCTAGGGGTATATAGTATAGTGAATAGTTAAATAACTACCATAGAGCCATCGCAGTGTTTCTCAAAGTTTTGTCAGAGAATCACAGGGTGTGTGTGGGGGGGGTAGCGGAGGCATTTTAGACTCAGATTCAGATCTACTGAGTTATTCATTAATGTGTATTAGCAAGCACTCCACAAATGACTTGAATGTGTTGCCAAAGTCAGACACCCTCAGGTATTCCAGAATGAACAAGAATATGAGTTAGATGGCCCTGACTTGGAATCTAGTTTTGCCATTTACTAACTGTATGAAGTTGGGGATATTAACTCTCTGCACCTATTTCTTCCTTTGTACATGGGAATCCCTGATTTTTTTCATAAAATACTTTTGCGCCTCTTTTACATGCAATCCTAGGAGCTAAGATTACAGCAGTGGATAAGAGAAAGTCCACTCTCTCTTGGAGCACACATTTTGTCAGGACAAGACAGACAAGTATGTAAAGCACACAAATAGATCAGATAATTTCAGATAATTTCTATTCTTTAGAAAATGAAATGCGGTTTTGACAGAGAAGGTATCTCTTAATTAAGAGACTATCTCTGCTACTTGTAACAAAGAAACTAAAAATATTTTAAAAACAAGACAAGTGGCTTTCCCTCCTTCTCTTTGTCAGTGGAGGAGGTGGTAAAGGGCACAGGTAGGTGGCTCTGTCATCCTCTTCTCTGCAATCTGTCATCTCTCCACTGGTGAGGCAGAGAGGAAATTTCCCCCTACCCCTCTGGATTCCTTGAGCTGGCTGAGCAATCAAATTAGCATCTGACAGATTAGTAGGAGAAAAAGAACAAATTTAATTATGTAAGTATTGAGCATTGATGTCACTATAAATTCTAGAGTAAGTGGGTCAAGGGTTTTTATTCTAAGCTAAGAAATGGGATAGGGGCTGGGATTTCAGGAAGAGAGGGCGTGACTCATGTTACAAAAATCAGATATTCTGTAGCTGGATGTTTACCCTGTCATATAGATAGGTTTCTCTGATAGAAAGGTTGTTTTAGAGATAATCCTAAATCTGAGTCATACATGCAGTCTTCATTCTTCTAGGTAGTTAAGGGAATGTGGCAGTTTCTCTTAAAACCCTCAGGGTCTCCATCAGCCTTAGCTTGAAATAATTCACATGCCTAGGTAACACATCTTGGAAGACCTGCTCTGGACATCTTGGGGAGGTCTATTTGAACATTCTAGGGAAGCCTATCCTTCACCACTCTAGCTAATTCAGCTTCCACCATTTTGTTTGCAATTCCAAATCCAACAAAGGAGGAAAAGTTGTGGGAAATGAGTGTTCTTGTTTATTTTACTGTGTAAGGAAGATAGGGCAGGTGTCGCTCGAGCCAGCCAGCGCTGCAGAGGCTGCGGGCAGCTTCGCAGCCCGGCTCTCAACCGCTGCGCCACCAGGAGAGGCCGTAGTTTGAGTTTTTGATGAAGTTGAGAAGAACCCAGAGATGTAGGGGTGAATTTCATCTCTTAACACATATTATTTGCCTTAATGCATCAGGGAGGTGATTTATAGGGTCTGTAATGCCTTTGAGTTGACTAGGATCAGGGTAATTGGGACAGGATCTTCCTCCAGAGAAACTATGAATTTGAGATAGAAGTTTCAATTTACCAAAAAAAGCCATTTGAAGGAGTTATAAGAATTTGGAAAAAGAAAAAATATTAAATGTGATTTTGATGGAGTGTTACAAACTCAAGGAAGGATTTTCCACTTGATAGCAAACTATTAGAATGCCATCCTGGTAACAGTCTTGTCTTAATGTGGATGGTGGCTTACAATAGCAAATTAACTTTGAGTATTCATTAAGCATGTTTTCATCAACATTTTTATAATTCATTCACTTTTCTGTATTTAAATTATCTAAATATTTTTGACAGGTTTATTAATTTTGAAAAAGACAAAGGAAAGCATCCCCACGTCACAAAGTTTTTATTAGGGCTATTAAGTTGTATTTATTTTGAGCATCAGAAAACAATTCATCAATGATCTTGATTCTTTTGTGAAGTAGGGAAAACATTGACGTTAACGTTCACCGGACAGTATTGAATTCTAAGATATAAGTTCCCATGCCATACTAGCAGGCATTTCTCTCTTGGTACATCCTATTTTTGAGAATCTCTTATCTTTTGACTAGGACACTTTTCATTGATTTCATGAGGGGTAGGAAAAAGTTAATTCTTTCTCTTACATTTTTTAAAATCTCTAAAGCCATATTTAAAGAATGAAATATGTCTCATGCTTTGTACATTAATAACAGAGACTGAAAAGAAATACTAATTTATCAAGCAGCACATCTTATGGTAAAAATAAAATAATCAACCTCCTAAATGGTGTAGGGAAAAATAATTTTCCTTTACTCTTCTAAGTTTTTGACTGAAACACAATCTGCAATTAAAAAATAACAAACAGTAGGTGATAAACAAGAGTTTAATAACTTGCATACTCCCATGTGCATGGGAGAGACCCAGAAAAACTGAGGAGCTCATTGAAATGACTCAGATGATCCCCTTAAACAGCGTTTTTAGTTAAAGACAAAAGAAGAATGTTGGGAGTTGGGGTCTAGGATTTCAAGGGGAAGGAAGACAATTCACAGGAAGATGGGAAATGCAAATACTCGGTAAAGAAATGTTTGTTGGACCATGCAGAAACAATGGGATACAAAGAGGAATTTTAACAACTTTGCTAACTTCTCCCCAGTCTACCACGTTAAGCTCATAATCTTTGTAGCTTCCACTGATGTGTCTCTTCCTGGAACTGGGAGGGAGACACCTTACAAATGGAGATTTTCCCCTTATACATGTAAATGTCTTACATTATGTCAGTCAGAGTAACTTCTGCTCAATTTTCAGGTTTCCCTATGTGCGTTGTTAAAAAAACAAGCAGCTTAAAGTAATTCTTATGCCAAAAAGAAATATTTTTCGTGTGGCAAATTTGTTCTCTTTCAGTGATCATGGGTCATTTTGAGAATAAGACTGTGGATTCTCTTCCCCGAAACATTGCACAGTAGGCTCGGTTCTCTGCCTCAACCTCGTGGCCTCTCTGCAGTGTTTGCAATTTATCACTCCTTCCTCTCTCAGTTCTCAAATCTGGAACCGGGCTCAACCAACACACCTTCTCTGAACTCGGTGGTCCTTTCCACCTCAGCTAATAAAATCGCCCAAAGGCGGAGTCTCCGGAGGGCAGCAGGATCTGCCTCCACCGCGGACAAGACCGGAACTCAGTTATCCGCCCCTGTTTCTCACCGGACTGGGAAGAGAGGGGAACGCGCCAGGCGAACGGAAGGGGAGCGGGGGACGTGTTTGGCAGGGGACTCACTGTTCCGGGTTTGTTCTCATTTTAGGGTATTTCTCCGTAATGTTTCCGAGAGTCACCGTGATCCTACATCTTCGCCCCCTTTCCCGTGTCCCTTTGTGCTCTGGATGCCCAGATGTATCGGCAGCTGCGATTGTGCTACTCCCGGCTCCTCACAGACCCGTCAGGTACCTCATTTCAGTGCTGTTGGCCCCGCAGGTCTTAAGGCATCCCCCCTCCTCCTACACGCACCCGGTACATTCAGTCATCATTCTCGGGTTTTCTGGGGTCTGTGAAAGAACCCACGGGATTTTAGGAGCCATTGCTTTAAATCTGAGAAAAGGGAAGTCTCAGAAAGAGAAAGTGACTTGCCCAAGGTCATAGAGCGCGTGCAAAACAGAACCTCAGTTACTTGCCTAGCTGGCTTCTTGGGTTCTTTCTACTATACAGCTCCCCATCCTTCTTGCCACTTCATTTTATCTAGGTTTAGGAAGCGAACTCGTCTTGTTTATTTTTTGCGTTCACGAATTATGATGGTCTCATTCCTACCTCCATTTGTTCTTTAGTTCATCGTTGAAAGTGTTTACAATGTGCCCGTGCTGTTGTTAATCCGGACCAACACAGTCCTGCTGTCTTTGTAGCTTACAATTCCATCAAGCTGGCAATTCGAATAAAGTAATAGCAGAGATTGTGCAGATCTAGTCAACAAGTAACTGCTGTGTCAGCAAATAGGAGCATTCTCCGTTGTAGGAGTGGTTCAAGATATTCGCTCTGGAAAAGAGTGAAAAAACCTAAAGGAGGATGAAGGGAGTTTGCTGGACAGGAAAAGGAGTGAGCTGTATTTGGTGTTGGTATTATCTGAGAACTGTCATGATTATGAAAACTTAATTCTACTTATATTACATGCAGCACTCTTTGGGGCCACTCTGGTTAAGTACAGCCCTGACACACGTTGGTAGAAGTGGGATGGGAAGAAGTAGCAGGATGGAGAATAATTGCACAAGTAGAAATGAAAGGATGTAACTTGTGATGAGATAAGGAAAAGGCAGTCAGAACAGAGATTTCTGCTGGTTGCCTTGAAGGATTAGTGAACCATTAATGTTAAGGAAGAATGAGTAGCAGCTTTGAGAATGTCATATTCTCAGATTATTTCAAGCTTTTAAATTGTGTTTAAAGCTTATTTATTTCAAGCTTTTAAATTGTGGTTTCTAGAATACAGAAATATCTGGCTAGAGGCCTGTTCAAAACAAAAGGGTGTAAAAAGTGGAAAGTGAGTCTGAGATGCGAACTCTTTTTTTTTTTTTTTTTAAGATTTATTTATGCATACAAGAACTGGGGTATGGGCCAGAGATGCAAGGAGTGAGAGGACTCACCAGAACAGAGCAGGGAGCAGGACAGGCAGATTGACTGAAAACACTGCTGAGGGAAGCAGTGGGCAAGACAGGAGAGGTCTTCTGCGCCATGTGAGTATCTCCCTGGCCAGCTGGGAATAGAACTCGAGCTGCAGAGGCTGCAGATAACTTTGTAGTGCTGTACTTAACCCCTTGCGCCACCAGGAAGGCCCTGAGATGGGAACTCTTGAGTATGGTTTTGGAGTATTGCATTTTTGAGTGGCAATGAGATGCACTCAGTAGATACTTTTCTGGTGGGAACGTTAGAGCTAGAGTTATTTCCTATGCAGGATTTCCTGTAGTAAATATAGACGACTTCCAGTGGTATTATAGCAGTCCTGAAAGGAAACACTGAAGTAATGGTTGTATGTGAGATCCCTTCTCCTATTTGCCACTTTTCTGGTGTAATGCCTTTTTTTTTTTTTTTAAGATTTCTTTATTTATTTATACAAGCACTGAGTACAGTCAGAAGCGCAGGAGGGTGAGAGATTCACCAGAGCCAGAGCGGGGAGCAGAACAGGCAGACTGACAAAATACACTGCTGAGGGGAGCAGCAGCGGGCACAGCAGGAGAGGTCTGCGTGCCATGTGGGACCCTCGCTGGCGGCCGAGGATCGAACCGGCGCTGCAGAGGCTGTGGGCAGCCGTGCAGCCCAGTGCTCAACCGCTGCGCCACCGGGGAGGCCCTGGTATAATGCCAGGCCCTGGTATAATAGCAATTTAACTTCTATGAGTGAAATAATTAAAACATTTTCCTAAATTGAGCTGTAGCATATACTATTGTGAGTGTTCTGTCTACTGATTATGAGGATACTGTTATGCAGTTGTTTTTCATTCTAATATTTATGTACCTGATGTGATAGCCTCTGACATTTTTATAAACAAATCAAATAGTTTGTTTCAGTATTTTTGCAAGTAGCCATATTCTTTTCATTAAAGGATCCCTGCCTTGCATGACTGCTTGCTAACTTTGAGAACTTGATGTTAACCCAAAGGCTGATGCAGGGTCTTGAGATCAGTTGCACCAGAGTCACCAGGCGTCTGGTAAATGCTATTCCAAAATTAATAACCAAAACTCTTAGGAATTTATGTTTTAAATAAACTTCCTAGGGACTCATGCCCTCTGAAGGTTAAGAACCACTAACTTAACATCTTTTGGCAGCAGTGTCTTCTATAAATGGTAATAATAAAACCTGTCCCCTAAAATTCTAAGGAGTAAGTAACATGTATAACACAGCTACTCACATTTCTCCTCTGGTGGGCACAGTCAGCATTACTTGGGAGCTTGCTAGAAATACACTTAAGTCCTTCCCCAAAGCTACTGAATCAGAATTACTTGCTGGGACCAAACTGTGTTTTAATTCCTGTGCATATAAAGTTTGAGAAACAATACTCCAGCCTGATAGCTTCATCAAGATAGGGACAATCTACATGCCCAGTGTAGTGCCTAGCGCAGGGTAGTCATTTGTGTCAGCAAGGCACAGGGCAGGTCTCTGTGGATCCAGGCAGACAGGTAAAGGAATCCTGGAGCCCTCAGTAGCTTTTTCAGGATTTTACTGATCTTTCTATACCATTTGTAGTGAGACAACCAGGCAGACGGCAGGCAGGAGAGCCAGGGGGCTGGTAGTCCTCCCAGCCCCTGGCGAATCTTTATTTTCTCTGGGCTTGCTCTGATGTCCTCTGTAGTCTCTTCCTCTCCCAGCTGTTCTCTGCCAACTATCCTCTGCCACATTGTCCTCTGTGATGCTGCCCTTCTATGCTTAGTCTCTGGGTTCAGGTGTGCCCACTCATGCACATCCATACCACACTCCAGGTGCTGCTATCAGGGATGCATGTCCTGAGCCCACACTCTCAGGCGCTCCCTTCATTGAAGGCTGCAGGTGATAGCCACAGAGGCCAATGGCACAAAATTCTGAGCAATCATCATTTATCCTACTTGCTATATTTAATGAATAACTTTTCATATACTGTATATCTTATTGAAACACATATGTTAGTTTTTAATGTTCTTCAGTATAAGCTATCAAAAGGTTCTTAACCCTACAAAATAAAATAGATGTTTGTGTTACTTAGAATTAGGAAATCTCAGGCACAAGTCTGAAATAGATGTAATCATTTGTGTTCTTTTTCACAAAAGCAGAATGGCAACTCTAGCCACTGAATATTCTTTTTTGTTGTTCCATTTTAGCTTAGCTTACTAATGGTAATAGATTAAATGGCTCAATGAGAAGGTTTACCAGATTAGAAACACCCAGGATTTTTTTTTTAGTAAGTAGCCCTTTTTTAATGATGGAAATTATTTTCGTATTGCTTAATTATGACTGTTACAGGGCAGGGAGGGGAGAACCCCAGAGCCTGCAACCCTGCCTGCTCTAAATAGGTTCTGCCATCTGCCGCATCAACACAAAATACATGAGACTTTAATGAAAAGGAACTTTAATACAATTGGTAAACAATACAGGAAAGGCAAAGAATATAATTTCTAAATTAAGCACCCAAAGTTACTCATCCCCTCGTGAGTAAAAGTCCACCACGGGATTGGCCCAGGGCAAGGCCCGAAAGCCTGCCACAGGTCTAAAGCACCTTCCAGTGGGGACCCACAGAAAAGGATCAGAAACAACCAGACAAAGCAGGAAAAGCGCAAAATCCAAACAGCTGCCTGTATGTGTCCAAAAGTGCAAGATAACAGCTGCCATTGTTATCCTCCCCATGGGTCTCTCACCCACATCTGTGTCGCCCAGTCCACGACCAAAAGGCAAGCACAGTTTCTTCACGTGTCTCTCCGTTCCACGTGCCTCCTCCAGGTCTCCTGGCTCTCCATCCTGCTTCCTCCCTTCTCAGTCTCCCCTGCAGCTTCTTGTCTTCTCTTTAGCTCCACCCTCCTTGGGTGGGGCAGGGAACCTGGAACTTCCCCTTTTCCTGGGGACTGCCCTGTTACAAGGCTTTTCAAAAAGGTTTTATATCATGTTAATGTCAGTTCATTGGCAATCATCGGATTTGGGCTTGAGAACAATAAATAAAAATATATTAACTATGTTTCACAACCTTTTTTTTCAATGTCATGGAACACACAAAAATGCTATTTTTACCAATTGTAAAATTAGTAAATGGAGGGAGGTAACAGGCAGGAGCCTGAGCCTCTGCCCCAAACCCCAAGAATCAGATGACTAATCCTAGACACCTGTAATCCGTTTATGGCCTCCTAGGACATCAGGCCTTAGAGAACGCTCGGCTAAATGACCTTGGGTGAGTTCCTTCACTTCTCGGGTTGCCCATTTCCTTATATGCAAAATGGGGATAATACTGGCCTTATCATTGAGGTAGGTATGGCAAAATATAAACAAACTATGTTTCACAACACTAGGCACATAGTAGAATATGTTCAATAAATGTTAAATTGTTGTTGATGTGGTTGTTAACGATAATAATAATAAACAGAAGGGAATGGGGAGCAAAATATGAAGGGTGCCCAGAGGACTATGGTACAGGGCTGTGAGTAGCTTGGTGGTGGGTGTTGTGTGGTAACATACTCTAGAGGCCATACACTCTGATACACCTCTAAATCTGATACAACTTTGTAAACCAATTTTAAAAACTAAATAAAATTATAGACTCCCAAAAAAGCAAAAAGAAAGAAATTGTATTGAAAATTTATAAAAATGCATTGAGCATTTGAGTCCTTTCTTTTGCATTGTATTTTTAATTTAATTTTTTTTTTAAATCTGTTTTTGTTGCTTTTCCAAGATTTCTTTTTTTTTCCTGTTTATTTTTTTTTAAAGATTTATTTTATTTATTTATTTATTTATTTATTTTTTAAGAGGCATGTATTATTTATTTATTTGTTTGTTTGTTTGTACATGCACTGGGTACAGTCAGAAGCGCGGGAGGGTGAGAGAATTCACCAGAGCCAGAGCGGGGAGCAGAGCAGGCAGAAGGACCGAAGTACACTGCTGAGGGGAGCAGCGGGCGGCAGGAGAGGTCTGCGCGCCATGTGGGACCCTCCTCCGGTGGCCGGGGAGCAGCCGGGGATCGAACCGGCGCTGCAGAGCCCGCGGGCAGCTTCGCAACCCAGCGCTCAACCGCTGCGCCACTGGGGAGGCCCTTTTTTTTTATTTATTTATACAAGCACTGGGTACAGTCAGAAGCGCAGGAGGGTGAGAGAATTCACCAGAGCCAGAGCGGGGAGCAGAGCAGGCAGAAGGACCGAAGTACACTGCTGAGGGGAGCAGCGGGCGGCAGGAGAGGTCTGCGCGCCATGTGGGACCCTTCTCCGGTGGCCGGGGAACAGCCGGGGATTGAACTGGTGCTGCAGAGGCTGCAGGCAGCTTCGCAACCCGGCTCTCAACTGCTGCGCCACCGGGGAGGCCCTTTAATTTAATTTTTAATGTGTCTTTATAGGGAAGAAAATAATAGCTGCAGGTATTTTGGCACCAGCAGTGTGATCTACAGCAAGAAAGATGAGCAGTCTGTTCCAACCCAGGAGATTTCCAAGGAGACAGAAAGCCAAGACAGTATAAAGGAAAAAAAGAAAAAAGACTTGCTAAGTATTATTAAGGGCATGAAAGTTGAATTAAGCACAGCAAATGTACAAACAACAAAGCCACCGGGAAGAAGACCACTTAAAAGTTGGGAAGCAACAACTAGAAAATCTCAAAGAGCAACAGAAGATGCCCCAAAGAAGAGGTAAATTGAATTGCAGTTTGAATATTTTTTGAAAGTAACTTTTGAAACTCCAGTAAGCTTTTTTTAAAATTAGAGTACTTGGGAAATACTGTATTAACGAAGACTGGTATCAGTTTGTAAACACAGAGACTCTAATAAATTACTTAAAAATGCTATTATGGTTCTGTATTAAATAACAAGGCAATATCTGTATACAATCTAAATAGAGGAAGAGAGTAGTGATCCCGGCACTCTATACATTCCCTTGTGTATTTATCAGTGTTACTCACTGCCATTTCCATGACTGTTTAAGCTGTTAATTACAAATTGTTTGAAAGTAGTGCCATGTCTCGGAAGGACTTGTTTATTTGAAATTCATTTAGGATAAAATTTTAGCATCTTGATTACAGCTATTTAATATGATTTCCTTTGGCCAGTGCTCTCAGCTTGCGTGATTTCCGCAAAAGATTGTAATTACTTGTGCTTGTGAAAGAGTATTTCACTGATTTCAAGTGCAAGTAGTGATATTTTAGCATTGTGTTGTAGTTTAAGTGGCAGTATTTGGTTTTAGTGATACATAAATAGTGATGTATACCTCACATCCACTTATCTATTTTCTTTAGACAACTATTCCTGGAAGGGAAATTGCTTAGTAAAGGATTTGCTTAATATTTGTCACCAAATTGCATGCAAAACTTATGCCAATTTGTGTGTCCACTCAGTAGCTTTCCACTTATCAGGATTTCTTTTCTGCAACTGGATGTATCATACAATCAGAATAAGTAGTGCCTTTTTTTCCCCCTTCTCATTTGTTTTTCATCAGTGAGTCCCTGAGTCCTGAATTGGTGGCTGCTGCATCTGCTGTTGCAGATTCTCTCCCTTTTGACAAGCAAAAGACCAAGTCCGAGCTGCTCAGGCAGCTCCAGCAACACGAAGAAAAATCAAGGGCACAGAAAGGTGGAGAAAGACCTAAAATTAGGTTAGTGAACCAAATAGTTATGTTAGTAATGCTGATCTCTCAAAATAGGCTATTTTTATGTGACTGATGTATAATATACACAATATATTTGCTTATATGTAACATATGCCTCATAAGTAAAATATTAGCAGTTTGATATTTTTTTAAGCCATGTCTTAAGATTGCAGTTTTTAAAAGACCATTTGAAGGGTTAAACTTTTCTTTTGAGAAATTATACAATTTCTTGTACCTGAAAAAGAAATGATAAGCTCAGGCATGTTCTTAATAAAAAATTAATTAAAATAAATGAATTAATAGAACAAGAAAGATAAAATTTTTCCAGTTAAATAATTTGCTCGGGTTTTGCGCAATAAGATAATCTTGACACCCATTTCCTTCTCATTTCCCATGTGTTCTTATGTTCTGACTGACATCTTTCACTTATCTTCTCATCTCTCATTACTTTATGCCAGATTACAACATACTTGCTGCTGATATGCAGTCAGTGGTCGTGCTGCTTTGGTTTGGAGAGGATCGAAATCAGTAGTTGTCAGTGAACATGTGTATCCAGATTTATCCCAGGAACTTAGAAGAGAACTATAGATGTCTAGACTCTCAGTTAAATCGCTCATTTTATTTGTATTTGAACAACAGCAATGCACCAAATAAATATGGCCAAATTTTAACTTTTAGTTTTTGAATAAAGGTGATATGAATAGATATTGATTATATATCACATTCTCTTGGTGTTTGATAATTTTCCAGAAATGACACTTTTAAATTATGGGGTTTTTAAAGTTTTATGATTTGTAACTTAACACCTCATTTGAACGCATGTTCATTCATCCTCCACCAAAGCTGTGGTGCTGCAACCCTGTCACCTTCTCTGTCTTCCTCTTCCTTTCCCCCCATTTTCTCTAATTAACAGTATATTTTTTATAGGATCCAAGAATTCTTGTTGTTTTGTCTGTTTCTTCTCTTCGTTTTTTATATTCTGCAAATAAGTAGACTGTCTAGTAAATATCTTTCATTTTCTGACTTATTTCACCTAGCATTATCACCTCAAGATCCATTCACTTTATCCCAAAGGATACTATTTTATCCTTTTTAATAGCTGAGAAGTATTCTGTTGAGTATAAATTCTATAATTTTTTAAACTCGGTCATCTCTGAATGGATATAGGGTTTGTTCCTTGTCTTGGCTATTGTGAATAATGCTGCTATGAATACAGGGGTGCATAAATCTATTTGTATTAGTGTTTTTATATTCTTTGGGTAAATAGCTACAAAATAGTATTGTTTGATCATAGGGTATTTTCTTTTTTTTTAAAGATTTATTTATTTATTTATTTATTTATTTATTTATTTATACAAGCACTGGGTACAGACAGAAGAGTGGGAGGGTGAGAGAATTCACCAGAGTCAGAGCGGAGAGTAGAACAGGCAGACCAACAATGTACACTGCTGAGGGGAGCAGCAGGCATGGCAGGAGAGGTCTGCGCACCATGTGGGACCCTCACCGGTGGCTGGGGATCGAACCAGCACTGCAGAGGCTGCGGGCAGCTTTGCAGCCCAGCGCTCAACCCACTGCGCCACCGGGGAGGCCCAGGGTATTTTCCTTTTGAGGAATTTTTATACGGTTTTCCATAGAGGCTGTAACCAATTATATTCCTATGTATAACAAATGAATATTCTTTTTTTCTCCCCAGTATCATCAACATTTGTTTTTTCCAATATTTTTGATATAGGCCATTCTTACAAGGGTGAGGTGATAGCTCATGTTTCTGTGTTTTGTTTTTTTTTTTGTTTTTTTTGGTAGGGCCCTCGCTGGTGGCCGGGGATCGAACTGGCGCTGCAGAGGCTGTGGGCAGCCTCGCAACCCAGCGCTCAACCGCTGTGCCACCAGGGGAGGCCCTTTGTTGTTATTATATTGTAGTTGAAGTATATGAGTTCTTTATATATTTTGGAAATTAACCCTTTGTCACATGTGTGATGTACAAATATCTTCTACCAGTACATAGATTGCCTTTTTTGTTTTTGTGGTGGTTTGCTTTGAAGTACAAGAGCTTTTTAGTTTGATATAGTCACATTTGTTTGCTTTTACTTATGTTTCCCTTGCTTTTGGAGATGATATCCAGGAATGTATTCCTTTTAATTTATATATAAAATTCCTTTTTTTTTTTTTTTTAGAGGCTTTTTTTAATTAATTAATTAATTTGTTTGCTTGTTTGTTTGTTTTGTTCATACATGCACTGGGTACAGTCAGAAGCGAGGGAGGGTGAGAGAATTCACCAGAGCCAGAGCGGGGAGCAGAGCAGGCAGAAGGACCGAAGTACACTGCTGAGGGGAGCAGCGGGCGGCAGGAGAGGTCTGCACGCCATGCGGGACCCTCCTCCTGTGGCTGGGGAGCAGCCGGGGATTGAACCGGCGCTGCAGAGGCCGCGGGCAGCTTCGCAACCCAGCGCTCAACCGCTGCGCCACCGGGGAGGCCCCTAAAATTCCTTTTTATATATAAAATGTTTTATTAATTTTTTTGTGTATGGAGTTAAGTAATGATCTGCTTCTTTCCTTCCCTCCTTCCCTCCTTCCCTCCCTCCCTCCCTTCCTTCCTTTTCTGGACTCTATTCTAAACCAATGGTCTATGTTCTGTTTTTGTTCCTTCCTTCCTTCCTTCCTTCCTTCCTTCCTGTCTGTCTGTCTTTGTTTTTTGCATGTGGCTCTCCAGATTTCCTAACACCTTTTATAGAAGAGGCTTTCTTTTCAGTGTGTGATTGTGGCTCCTTTGTCAAAAATTAACTATCCATATTTGTGATTGTTTATTTCTGGACTCTATTCTAAACCAATGGTCTATGTTCTGTTTTTGTTCCATATCATACAGTTTTGATCACTATCTCTGTGTACTATAGTATAGAAGTCAGGAAGTGTGATACCTTGCTTTTTCTTTTTTTCTCTCAGAATTGCTTTGACTATTCTGGGTCTTTTGTGATTCCGTACAAATTTTATAATTGCTTGTTCTATTTCCTTAAAGAATGTCATTGGGATTTTAATAGTGGTAATTGTGGTACATCTCAAAATTGCCTTAGGCAACATGACCATTTTAACAATGTTTACTCTTCCAATCCATGAACAGGGAGATCTTACCATTTCTTTGTGTCATCTTTTACTTCCTTTTACATTGTCTTATATTTTCATGGTATTGTTTCTTCACTCTATTAAATTTATTCCCAGCTAGTTCATCTATTTTGGTGCAGATTTTTAAAGGAATTGAAATTTTGATTCCTCTTTCTTCTGTTTCATTGTTTGCATGTAAAAATGCAGCAGATTTTGTGTATTTTGTTTCCTATCATTTTACTGTATTATTTCTAGTAATGTTTTTGGTTTCTCTATGACTATTATGTGATCTGCAAATAGGGATAGTTTCACTTCTTATCCTGTTTGGATGTTTTATGGTTTTTTCCTACCTGGTTGCTCTAGCTAGTGTTATAGGACAGGGAGAGGGGCACCCAAACCCCGCAAACCTGCCTATTCTAAATGGGTTCTGCCATCCGCCGCATCAACACAAAACATATGAGACTTTAATGGGAAGGAGCTTTAATAAAACTAGGAAACAATACAGGTAAGGCAAAGAGTCTAGTTTCTAAATGAAGCACCCAAAGTTACCCGTCCCCTCGTGGGTAAAAGTCCATCCATATGGGAATGACCCAGAACAAGGCCCCAAAGCCTGCCATGAGTCTAAAGCATCTTCCAGTGGGGACCCACAGAAAAGGGTCAGAAACAACGAGACAAGCCTGGAAGGAAAAGAGCAAAATCAATATCAAGGTAAAGGCTGCCATTGTCACCTCCCCATGGGTCTCACCCACATTTGTGTCACCCAGTCCACGACCAAAAGACAAGCACAGTTTCTTCACGTGTCTCTAGGCTCCATGCGCCTTCTCCAGGTTTCCTGGCTCCATCCTGCTTCTTCCTCCCTCAGTTTCCTCTGCAGCTTCTCCTCTCCCTGCTCAGCTCCACCCTCCCTTGGGTGGGGCAGGGAATCTCCCCCTTTCCTGGGGACCACCCTGTTACACTAGGACTTCTAATACTATGTTGAACAATAGTGGTTTCTAGTCTTATTCCTAGGTTTAGAGGAAGTGCTTTCAGGTTTTCACCTTGAGTATGATGAGCTTGTCATATAATCTTAATTATGTTAAAGATAGATTCCTTTTATTCCCACTTTATTGATTTTTTTTTTAAATAATGAATGGACATTGAATCTTTTCTAATGCTTCCCACTGCCTCCAATCTATGGAAATGACCATGTGATTTTTATCTTTCTTTTTGTTGATGTGGTAAATGACATTGATTGATATGCATGTGTTGAACTAGCCTTGCATATCTGTGTTAAAACCAAGTTGGTCATGGTGAATGATTTTCTGAATATATTTCTTAATACATTTGATTTGCCAGATTTAGTTGAGGATGTTTGGCATCTGTTTTTATTTGAAAACTAACACTATAGTTTACTTTTATTGTGTCGTTCTTGTTTGGTTTTAGGAACAATGTGATGTTGGTCTACTGAAATGTGTTTGGGAATTTTTGCCCCTTTTCAACTTTTTTGAAAGAGTTTGAGAAGGATAGGTATTAAGTCTTCTTTGAAAGTTTGGTAGAATTCACTAATGAAGCTATCTGGTCCTGGGCTTTTGTCTTTAGGAAGCCTTTTGATTACTTTTCCAATTTCTTTCTGTGTTTGACCTGTTCAAACTCTTTCATCCTGGTTTAGTCTTAGAAGTCTTGTGTGAATCTAAAAATTTGTCCATTTCTTCTAGATTTTCCTGTTTGTTTGCATATAGATATTCATAGCAGTCTCTTAGAAGTCTTACAATTTTTGTGTCCCAGGATAAGGTCTATCCTTAAGAAGATTGCATGTGTACTTAACAAGAATGAAAGTCTCTTATCATCCTTTGTGTTTCTGCATTGTAATTTTTGCCTCTTTTATTTCTGATTCTTTTTATTTAGGTTTTCATTCTTGTTTATGAGCCTTGCTAATGATTTATCTGTTTTGTTAATCCTTTTCAGGAACCAGCTCTTGGTTTCATTGATCTTTTATATTGTCTTTTTGGTTTGTTTCATTTATTTGTGCTCTAATTTTTATTTCCTTCCTTCTACTGATTTTTGGTCTCTTTTATTCTTTTTCTGGTACCTTCGGATATGATATTACATTGTTTGAGAGTGTTGTTTATAGATGTAGTCTATATTACTTGTACTTTCTGTTATTTTTTTAAAGATTTATTCTATTTATTTATGCATATAAGAACTGGAGCCTAGGCCTGAGATGCAGGGGGTGAGAGGATTCACCAGAAACAGAGTGGGGAACAGAACAATCTGATCTACTGAAATACACTGCTGAGGGAAGCAGCCGGCAAGACAGGAGATGTCTGCTGCACCATGTGTGTTAGCTCCCTGGCTGGTTATTGAATTTATGCCACAGTGGCTGGTGATAGCTTGATAGTGCTGCAACTTTAACCCCTGTGCCACCAGGGAGGCCTCTGTACTTCCCTTTTAATACCACTTTTATTTTTTTATAATAAATTTTATTTTTATATTCCCCATACAATTGCAACTCCCTTATTTTGACCCCAATCCCTCCCCTCCTCCCCCCTACCCCCCATAGAGTGTCTCTGGTTCATAGTTTTTTGTTGATTTTGATTTTCACTTTCTCATAGTTATTCATTTTCCTGGTCCCTTATTTAAGTTTTCTAGATTCCTGCTATGAGTGAGCCCATCCGGTATTTTTCTTTTTCTTTCTGGCTTATTTCGCTGAGCATGATCCCTTCCAGCGCCATCCATGTTGCTGCAAATTGCATGTGTTTATCTTTTTTGAATGCTGAGTAATATTCCATGGTGTATATGTACCACATCTTCTTGATCCAGTCATCTATTTTTGGGCATTTGGGTTGTTTCCAAAGCTTAGCTATTGTAAATAGTGCTGCTATAAACATAGGGGTGCAGGTGCTCTTTGGAATTGATATTTCTGTGTCCTTTGGGTAAATACCTAGGAGTGGAATTGCTGGATCATATGGAAGCTCTATGTTTAGTAGGTCCAGAAATCTCCACACAGCTTTCCATAGTGGTTGGACCAGTTTGCACTCCCACCAGCAGTGCAGAAGAGTTCCTTTTTCTCCACACCCTCGCCAACATTTGTTGTTGCTAGTTTTTTTAATATGTGCCATTCTCACTGGTGTAAGATGGTTAATACCACTTTTAGAGTGTACCATAGAGTCTGGTTGGTTGTCTCTTTGTTTACATCTGTCTCTATATATTTTTCTGTTTCTCCTTTGATTTCTTCATTGACTCAGATGTTATTCAAAAGCATTTGTTTAGTTTCCCTATGTTTGGGTTTTTTCAGGGTTTCTTTTTGTGGTTAACTTCTAGCTTTATCTTGTTACGAAGAGAAAGGATGTTTGATATAATTTCAGTTTTGATGTATATTTGAGACATGTTTTGTGTCCCAGCATGAGGTCTAGTCTTAAGGAAGTTCCATGTGTACCTGATAAGAATGTATATTTAGAGTCTCCCTGGTGGCACAAGGGGTTAAGACACAACCTATGAAGCTGTCTGCAGCCACTGCAGACAAGTTTGAACCCCAGAAAGGGAGCTACCCACATGGTACAGCAGACCTCTCCTGACTCGCCCGCTGCTACCCTCAGCAGTGTATTTCAGTTCTAACAGAACTAAGCCTGTCTGTTTGCCACTTTATCTCTGGTAAATCCTCTCACCACCCCCCACACTTCTGACCTGTACCCCAGCTCTTGTGTACGTAAATAAATAAATTTTAAAAAAAGAACGTGTATTCATTTCTTTCGTGTTTCTCTGTAGGTGTGTGTGTATATATATATATTTTTTTTAAAGATTTATTTATTTATTTATGAATGTAAGTACTAGGGGACAGGCCAGAGGTGTGGGGGGTGAGAGGATTCGCCAGGGACAGTGGGGAATAGAACAGACAGATAGACTGAAATACACTGCTGAGGGCAGCAGCAGGCGAGACAGGAGAGGTCTGCTGCACCATGTGGGTAGCTCCCTGGCCAGCTGGGGATCAAGCTCATGGAGCAGAGGCCACAGATAGTGCTGTGCTTAACCCCTTGTGCCACCAGGGAGGCCATGTAGATGTATATTAAGTCTATCTGATCCAATCCTTCATTTAACATCACAATCTGTCTCTTGATGTTTATGATCTGTTTAAATCTCCTGCTATAATTGTATTGCTGTCAATGTGTTTCTTTAGTTCTTATTAGTTGCTTTATATATTTTGGAGCACCTGTATTAGTTGCATAAATATTAATGACAGTGATATCTTTTGGATAGATTGACCCCCTAACCATATATAATGCCCATCTTTTTCCCTAATTACCTTTTTTGGCTGAAAGTCAATTTATCAGATAGGAGAATAGCAGTTCTTAATTTCTTTGTGTGTATTGCTTTGCTCCAGCCTTTCATTTTGAGTCTGTTTTGTTTTTGTTCTAAGGTGGGTTTCTCACATATATGTATTTCTGCTCATACATTTTTATCTAAGCTGTTGTTCTGTGTCTTAATTGGTAAATTTGGACCATTCATGTTTAAGATGAATTTGATATATGAGGCTTATTTAAAGTCATTCTTGGGGCCTCCTTGGTGGCGCAAGGGGTTAAGACATAGCACTGTGAAGCTACCCACAGCCACTGCAGCACAAGTTCGATCCCCCAGCCAGGGAGCTAACCCACATGGAGCAGCAGACCTCTCCTGTCTCGCCTGCTGCTCCCCTCAGCAGTATATTTCAGTTAATCTGCCTGTTCTGTTCTCACTTTGTCTTTGGTAAATCCTCTCACCCCCCAAACCTCTGGCCTGTACCGCAGTTCTTATATGCATAAATAAATAAATCTTAAAAAAAAATAAAGTCATTCTTTCTGTTGTTTCTTTTTCATGTGTTTTTTTTTTTTTTTTTTAAGATTTATTTATTTATGTGTATAAGAGTTGGTGTGTAGCCAGAGATGTCGGGGGCGGGGTGGAGAGGATTCACCAGAGACAGAGTGGGGAGCAGCACAGGCATATCCACTGAAATACATCACTGAGGGTAGCAGCGGGCGAGACAGGAGAGGTCTGCCGTGCCATGTAGGTAGCTCCCTGGCTAGTGATCAAATTCATGCTGCAGAGATTGCCAGTAGCTTCACAGTGCTGTGCTTTAATCCCTTGCACCACTAAGGAGGCTTTTTTCATGTGTTTCTATCTGCTTTTTCATTTGGATGGCTTTCTTTGGTGGATCTTCCAGTTTCTTCTTTTCTCTTTTAAATGTCTGAGTTTTGGTTTTGTGGTTACCACTATGGTTGTATTAAGTTTTTATATCTAAAATCCTCCTTCATATGCTAATATCAATTCATCATTTGACTGTACAGATTCTGTCCTTGTCTCCCTCCCTTTTAAAGTTTTGTTGTTCTCTTATTAATCTTATCTATACAATTTCTGCATTATTGTTACCTTGGTCAAGGTTTTATTTTCTTCTGCTTTTTTTCTTTTCATATAGAACTTCTTTTTTAATATTTCTTGTAGGGCATTTATTTTTGTCTGGGAAACTATTTCTCTATCAAACTTTGGTGATAGTTTATTTTTTTAAGATTTATTTATTTATGCATATAAGAACCGGGGTACAGGGCCTCCCCGGTGGCGCAGTGGTTGAGCACTGGGTTGCGAAGCTGGCCGCAGTGTCTGCAGCGCAGGTTCAATCCCCGGCCATTGAGTGAGGGTCCCACATGGCGTGCACATCTCTCCTGCCGCCTGCTGCTCTCCTCAGCAGTATATTTCGTAAGTCTGCCTGCTCTGTTCCCTGCTCTGGCTCTGGTGAATTCTCTCACCTTCCCACGCTTCTGACTATACCCAGTTTGTATAAATAAATAAATAAATCTTAAAAAAAAAAAAAGAACTGGGGTACAGGCCAAGAGATGTGGGGGATGAGAGGATTTACCAGAGACAGAGCGGGGAACAGAGCAGGCAGACTGATGAAATACACTGCTGAGGGGAGCAGCAGGAGAGACAGGAGAGTTCTCCTGCGCCATGTGGGTCAGCTCCCAGGCCAGGGGGGATCAAACTCACGCTGCAGTAGCTGCATATTACTTCATATTACTGAGACTTAACCCCTTGTGCCACAAGGGAGACCCCACTTCAGTGATAAATTTGTAGGATAAAGTATTCTGGGCTGATAAAGTATTTCCTCTAGCGATCTTTTGATATTTTTTCTTTATCATTGACTTTTGATAATTTAACAATGATGTGTCTTGGTGAAGGTAATTTTGCACTTAGAAATGTAGGTGTTCCTTCAGCTTCCTGGATTTCCAGTTCTTTACTTAGATTTAGGAAGTTCTCAGCAACTATTTCTTTGAATATGATTTCTGTCCCCTCTCCCTGCCCCTTCAGGAATACCCATTATTCTTATGTTTCCTCCTCTAATGGAATCTGGTATTTCTTATAGAGGTTCTTTGTTTTTCCTCAATATTGTTTCTGTCTTTTTCCATTAGGGTCTTTTGTATATTTGTATCTTATATTTCTGAAATTCTCTCTTCCTTTAATAAGTCTATGTAATATACTTTCCATTCCATATTTATTTTCATTTCATTCAAGTGTCTCATTTTGTGGTTTTATAATGCATGTTTTAAGTAAACATTTGTGAAGATCATTTTTTAAAGACAGGAGGATACATGAATCTTCGTGTCTATAGAATGTGAATGTTCATGTGATGCAGTCTTTTATTTAAACAAACTTTTAATACTGTGTTAGTTCATAGAATTGAAATACGAATTAATGCTATGAATCTCGTTTCATAAAGTTCATTGCTATTCTATAATTAAAATTTCTAACTCTCTTGACCTTTTTGTTATTTCAGTTTCAGTAACATAATATCAGATATGAAAGTTGCCAGGTCTTCCTCAGCTAGAGTTAGTACAAGACCAGTGCATCAGATTCAGTTTGACGAAGGATCCAGTGATGATTGTCTTGCCCAGGAGAAGACTGTTGACCTTAGAAAAAGGTATTCAGGCTTTTGAATCTATTTATTCTTGTCTGTTAAACTATAGATTTATTTTATTTCTGTACATATTATTGCTGATAAGTTTCTGAGCATTATTGATGCATTTTTATCTGTTATCTTTCCATTTACCATTTCCTAGAGAGGGTAAGATGTTCTGGGTTTAGCTTCACATTTTTTTTTTTTTTAATAGAGGCATGTTTTTTATTTATTTGTTTGTTTGTTTGTTTGTTCATTTATACATGCACTGGGTACAGTCAGAAGCACGGGAGGGTGAGAGAATTCACCAGAGTCAGAGCAGGGAACAGAACAGGCAGACTGAAGAAGTACAGTGCTGAGGGGAGCAGCGGGTGGCAGGAGAGGTCTGCGCGCCATGTGGGACCCTCCTCCTGTGGCCGGGGAGCAGCCGGGGATCGAACCGGTACCACAGAGGCCGCGGGGAGCTTCGCAACCCAGCGCTCAACCACCGTGCCACTGGGGAGGCCCGCTTCACATTTTTCTATACCATAAATCACAATACACACTGCCTCATTCTTACCCACAATGAAAAGGTCTCCTGGTTTAGAATAAGTGGAGCTGACAGAATTCTTAACAAATAAGCATTTTGCAAGGAGCATTATTTTCATTCTCATATGTGCTTAACAATGTATATTCATATATTTATTGTATCTCTACATAGAGATATATATCAAAATATCTTTCTTCATACCTTAGAGAAATAACCCACCATCCGAGAAAAAGATCCATTATAATAACTTAAAGTGGCAGATTATTTCTGGCCATTTGAATTTGGCAATTTGTAGTTCCTAAAGATACTAAGCCTTGCATTACAGTTACTTTATAATAGAAAACTATCTGTATTTACATAAAATTTGTTTTTTCTCTTTTAAGCCGTGAAGGTGGTAGTTGGGGAAAGATATTTAACATGATCTGCCAAAAACTAACTCAACTTTATGGCAGGATGACCTTATAATTGGTGTATTTTCAATGTGTATTCCATGGATTTTGTTTTAATTACAAATTTAGAAACTTGACTTAGCTCCTCCTGGATATTAAATTATTAATTTGTACATTAAGATTGGAAAAGATGGTTACCAAAATACGTTTTAGAGGTTGTAGTGACTAGGAAATCATTTGAATTACTAATGTAAACAGGTTTTATATCTATGATATATTATTAAATAAAGTAGAATGTTTTCCTGAAGCTTTCTGTACATGTACTCTTGTTAAAAAGCTGATAAAGAACTCTAAGACATGGGAAAACAACAGTAAGATATCAGTTGTTCACTCAACTCTCACCTCAGACAATCCAGGCCTAGAATGACCAGCACAAGTATACCCTGGGTGGATTCCTTCAGTTAAAGAGAGGTGTGCATCATGGAGCACTAACTTTGGAATCACACTGGCCTACCCAAAAATCTTGACACTGTACCACTGACTAATTCTGTGACTGGGGTAACATCCATAGCCCCTGGGTTGGCTTTCCCATGTATAAGATGCTGAAAGTGAAACCTACTTGAAATGAAATGACTCAAGGGATAGAAAGTAATACATGTAAGGCCTCCCTGGTGGCACAAGGGGTTAATAAGCACAGCACTATGAAGCTCTCCACAGCCTCTGCAGCAAGAGTTCAATCCCCGGCCGGCCAGGGAGCTACCCACATGGCACAGCAGACCTCTCCTGTCTCGCCCACTGCTCCCCTCAGCAGTGTATTTGTGAGTCTGCCTATTCTGTTCCCCACTCTGTCTCTGGTGAATCCTCTCACCCCCCACACTTTTGGCCTGTACCCCAGTTCTTGTATGCATAAATAAATAAATCTTTCAAAAAGGAAGAAGAAAGTAATACATGTAAACTGTATATAGTAAATGCATAGCAGGTGTTTGTTCCCTTTCCCTTTACTACATTCTTCTTTTAAAACTCTGCTTTCCCAAATCATTGCCTCTTTATTGTACTGTGTGTTATTTTACCTGGCAGGAAGCTGAGGGAATGATGGGTGGGAGGAAGAATGCAAGGCACTGAGGATAATTCTGGCACATAAATGCCTTTGTTTACAAATACCTTGGTGACTTCCTAGAGTAAAACTTATTTGAGATCACTTTATCCAATTTTAATGTGGTGTTTTCGTTTTTCAGCTAGCTTAATTTAGTGGAAAAATGTAGTTTGATCTAGGAAAAAATTCAAGATAATTTTTGAAACTAATCCTCCAGTATATAAATTGGTTTTAATCTGCTAATAAATATATTCAAAAATGTGAATTGATGCCTAAACCAGTTTTAAAATAAACAAGGAGAGTGGGCCCCACTGGTTGTGCAGGGGGTTAAGTCTCAGTGCTATCAAGCTGTTGCCAGCCACTGTGACCTGAGTTCTATCCCTGGCCAAAGACCTAACCCACATGGTGCAGCAGACCTCTCCTGTCTTTCCTGTTGCTCCCCTCAACAGTGTATTTCAGTAGATCCACCTGTTCTGTTCCCCACTCTGTCTCTGGTCAGTTCTCTCACCCCTTGCACCTCTGACCTATACCCCAGTTCTTGTATGCATAAACAAATAAAAATAAATCTTAGGGCCTCCCTGGTGGCTCAGCGGATTGAGTGCAGCGCTGTGAAGCTGCCTGGAGCCTCTGCAGCTTGAGTTCAATCCCTGGCCAGCCAGGGAGCAACCCACATGGCGTGGTGGACCTCTCCTGACTTGCCCACTGCTCCCCTCAGCAGTGTACTTTGGTCTTTCTGCCTGTTCTTTTCGCCATTCTGTCTCTGGTGGATCCTGTCGCCTCCCACACCTCTGGCCTGTACCCCAGTTCTTGTATGCATAAATAAATAAAATTTTTGGGGAAAACATCTTAAATAAATAAAAAATACACACACACACACACACACACAAGGGGAGTTATCTATTAGCTCTCTGACATAAACTTTAATGGTTAATTTAAAATATTGCATTTATGTAAAGAAAATCATTTCAAAATTACAGTCTTTACTTTGTGAGCATGTTTTTATTTAACTGTGCAAACGCCTGTAATTTGTAGTTAAACATTACAATGCTTTTTACCCTTCAACTAAGACAAATGATGACTTTAACACCTTCAGACTGAACATATTTTCATAAGAGTTCCACAACATTGAATTTTCTAAATCGTTAATATGAAATGAATCAAATAGCAATTTTGGCATATTAATCTAATATTATCAGTTAGATATTTTGGAAATTGAACTGCTCTAGCTGCTATATTGTATTATAGAGCAAAAATTCAAGTGCATTTTTTTTTATAGAGGCATGTTTTATTTATTTATTTATTATATTTGTTTATTTGTTTTGTTTATACATGCACTGGGTACAGTCAGAAGCTCGGGAGGGTGAGAGAATTCACCAGAGCCAGAGTGGGGAGCAGAGCAGGCAGAAGGACTGAAGTACACTGCTGAAGGGAGCAGCGGGTGGCAGGAGAGGTCTGCGCACCATGTGGGATCCTCCTCCGGTGGCCGGGGAGCAGCTGGGGATCGAACCAGCGCCGCAGAGGCCATGGGCAGCTTCGCAACCCAGCGCTCAACCGCTGCGCCACCGGGGAGGCCCTCAAGTGCATTTTTTTACAGATTTATTTTATTTGTTATAAATACAAGAACTGGGATGTAGGCCAGAGGTGTGGTCATGAGAGGATTCAGCAGAGACAGAGTAGGGAGCAGAAAAGTTGGATCTACTGAAATACACTGCTGAGGGGAGCAGTGGGCAAGACAGGATAGGTCTGCTGCGCTGTATGGGAATTAGCTCCCTGACCAGGGATTGAACTCATGCCCTCTGCCTACAGTGGCTGGCGATAGCTTGATCGTGCTGAGACTTTAACACCTGTCCACTAGGGAGGCCCCCTCAAGTGCATTTATGCATGTTTTTAATTATCAGTTCTAAAGACGTTTAAATTTAAAGTAAAATATCTGGAATGGATCAGTGGAATTATTTTAAATTCTACAGTGAATGGTTCATGTAAAATTTTCTTTTAAACAGTTTTTTGTCGACAATGTATAAGAATATTCATTAAAATAAATGATTTTTTCTTTTTCAGTTTTAGGAAAGATTTATTCAAGGGGAAGAGACTTAATATTTTTGAGATTAAAGCAGATACTGAAGAGACACTTGAAACAGGTTTGTAAGAAAAGAACACCATTTCTTCTGTTTAGAAATAGTCCATCTTTTAAAAGTGTCTTTAATGTTTGCACTGAAAATATTCAGGTACTATAATATTCCATTCTGTTGTTGGCCTGGCTCCTCCTTATGAATGTAGTTGTTGACATTGCTAGTCTTGGTCAGCTGTCCTTGAAGTATTGCATTCTGGGAGGTAAGGACTACCAATTAATACATAGCTACAGATTGGCTACTATTTTGGATTAGAACATGAATGATTTCCTACCATTTGCAATATATATCTGTGCTATTACTTAAAAACAAGTAAGTTGCAGTTCCTACTTTTAGGCACCTCACTCTCTAGAAGATGAGGTAACTTTTGTAGAACTAATTATTGGAGTGATTTAGTGATTGTTTAGAAGGGAGGAAGAACATTCAGGGAATATATTAGCAGAACTTGTAGTGTTTTTTTTATTTTTTCTTTTAAAGATTTATTTATTTTTATACAAGAACTGGGGTACAGAGGGGCGGGACGGTGAGAGGATTCACCAGAGACAGAGCGGGGAACAGAACAGGCAGATGAACTGAGGTACATTGCTGAGGGGAGCAGTGGGAGAGACAGGAGAGGTCTGTCCTGCCATATGGGTTTCTCCCTGGCTGCCTGGGAATTGAACTGGTGCTGCAGAGGCGGCAGACAGCTTCATAGCGCTGCGCTCAACCCACTGTGCCACCGGGGAGGCCCAGTGGTTTTTTTCTTAACGTATGATTAGGTTTTGTTCCCTGTTGTTCCTCTGTTGTTCTGTTCTTTTTTTTTTTTTTTTTTTTTAAAGTTTTATTTATTTATTTATACATACAAGCACTGGGTACAGTCAGAAGCGCGGGAGGGTGAGAGAATTCACCAGAGCCAGAGCGGGGAGCAGAGCAGGCAGAAGGACCGAAGTACACTGCTGAGGGGAGCAGCGGGCGGCAGGCGAGGTCTGCGCGCCATGTGGGACCCTCCTCCAGTGGCCGGGGAGCAGCCGGGGATCGAACCGGCTCTGCAGAGGCTGCGGGCAGCTTCGCAACCCAGCGCTCAACCGCTGCGCCACCGGGAAGGCCCTGTTCTGTTGTTCTTAGACTCTGTTGAGTCTAAGAAAAATAAGAGAATTCTCTGCTTGACATTAATTTTGATTTATTGACAAATAACATACAAATGGTCTCCGGTTTACAAGTGATTTCCGTTTCTAAAGATTACATGTTATCTTTGGGCTTGGTAGAAATAATGTTATATTTGATATTTAAGTTTCCAAGCCAGCCTCTAACATGAGGCTTTTCTATCAGTTACTTATATAAACATCTGATTTTTCCACTTTTCAACTACTAGATTTTAGGGCTAGATTTCATCGATTTATGTTATCCCTGAAGCAACTAGTCAAGTGGACAGGTGTTTTCCAGATAATAGGAATTGGTTATCTTAAGTCATAACTAAAGTTACTTTTAAAATGACTTGTAGGGCCTCCCCGGTGGCGCAGCGGTTGAGCACTGGGTTGTGAAGCTGCCCGCAGCCTCTGCAACGCCGGTTCGATCCCCGGCTGCTCCCCGGCCACCGGAGGAGGGTCCCACATGGCGCGCAGACCTCTCCTGCTGCCCGCTGCTCCCCTCAGCAGTGTACTTCGGTCCTTCTGCCTGTTCTGCTCTCTGCTCTAGCTCTGGTGAATTCTCTCACCCTCCGTGCTTCTGACTGTACCCAGTGCTTGTATAAATAAATAAATAAATAAATCTTTTATAAAAAAATAATTAAAATGACTTGTAAATCATTTTTTTAATTAAATTATAAATATATAAAGGGTTGTTAATTCAGTTTGTTCATTTAAACTATAAGCAGAGCTTAAGAGACTAGGCCCCTTGTATTGTGAAATACATTCTGTCCTGTAAGATGACAAGGAAATACAAACGGCACATGCATGAAAAATGGATCTCCTCTCCTCTGTTGAAGGGGAATTCCCTTCAACTTAAAAGGAATTTGTGCTCAAGGCAACTGCTATTGTCTATCTGATGGATAGCCAGAAGAGGCACTTGGGCTCTTGAAGTAGCCTGCTTGCTTTCTTTAATCTGAAATCTTACTCCTAAAATTGAAATCAGTCTCAAGAAAGTTCTAAAGTCGTATGTATATAAGGAAGTATTGAATGATTATACTGTAATAAGGAAAATAATGCACAAATTTATGTAAATTTTCTCTAGTGAAGTTACTATTTTTATAAGCTCTACTTAATTTAAAGAATGTCTTTTGTGTCCAGTTAAGTACACGAATAGCAACAGTATGCAGACTTAAATTTAGGATTGTTCATTGCTGTTTCCCTATGATCCAAAGTATTCCTTACATGTAAATTGCTTGCAACAATAATTTATTGATTATGTGAATGAGTTTTTCTGTTCTATGGATTACCACATCTTGCTGGAGAGGACATAGTAGTAGACATTGCTGCTCATCCTGGAATAACTAGAATTGAGAGGCAGTGGAGGTAGCTTAATGGAAGAGGTAGCTTAATTAAGAGGTAGCTTAATGGAAATTGGTGTTGTGTAGATCTGGATTCAAATTTGGAGCTAATGGGTCTCGCTGGTGGCACAGAGGTTAAAGTCTCAGTGCTATGAAGCTATTGCCAGCCACTACAGGTGGCATGAGTTGGATCCCCGGCCAGGGAGCTAACCCACATGGCACAGCAGCCCTCTCCTGTCTCACCTACTGCTCCCTTCAGCAGTTCTGCTCCCCACTCTGTCTCTGGTGAATCCTCCCACCCCCGCACCTCTGGCTGACACCCCAGTTCTTGTATGTAAAAATAAATAAAAATAAATCTTAAAAAAAATTTAGAGCTGCCACACAAACCTGTGTGTCTCCCTTTGTCCTCTTATGAAATGAGGCTAATAAGTATCAGGAATTAAATGAGAAAATGTAATTAAAGAGTCAGGCACAGTTCTTGAAATACAGTAGACATCCAATAAATCATCAAAGCTATTAACAGTAGTATAATTATAATAGTAATAACATGGTAATGATGATGCTAGAAAAGATATAGGTTGATTAGTGTTCACTGATTAAATTTTTAAAATGTGACCAAGATAATTATGTTATTTTACAGTTATGATTACTACTACATAAATGTGGCTAATTAAGCCTAACTGCTGTGATCTTTCTCTGTATAAGGTATTCTAGACCAGCAAAGTTAATATCCAGCGGTCAGCACATAAAGGCTTACCGTAACAGTTTCAAAAAAAAGTACACAGCTTAAAATAAGGCTTACCTAGGTAGACAAATGAGCAATTCATTTGAATGCATCAGAGTACTCGCAAAAGTGGTAAAGAGGTAAGGAGTCGAATAAATAGTATGTAATTTATGCCTTCGACCCAGAAATTTTTTTCCTATAACGAAATTACTACAGATGTGCATGCAAGTGTAACTACAAAGATATTCATCCTTACAGTGTTAACAAGAGAAAGTATGTAAATTATCAAAATGTTCAAGAATAGGTGATCTGGGCCTTCCTGGTGGTCTAGAAGACTCAGCGCTACCAAGGCAAAGGCCCACCGCAACTGCCTGAGTTCAATCCCGGGTTAGGGAGTTAACCCACATTGTGCAGCAGACTTCTCCTGTCTCGCCTGCTGCTCCCTTTAGCAATGTATTTCAGTAGATTCACCTGTACTGCTCCCCACTCTGTCTCTGATAAATCTTAATCCCTGCACCCCATAACTCTGGCCTACACCCCAGTTCTTTTTTTTTTTTTTTTAAGATTTATATACACATATAAGAACTAGGGTGTGGGCCAGAGGTGAGGGGGTGAGAGGATTCACCAGAGACAGAACTCATGCTTCAGTGGCTGGAGATAGCTTGATAGTGCTGTGTCTTTAATCCCTACACCATCTGGGAGGCCCCCACCCCAGTTCTTCTGTGCAAAAATAAATAAATGAATGAATCTTTTTTAAAAAAATGAATAGTGGGCCTCCCTGGTGGCACAAGGAGTTAGGTTACAGCACAATGAAGCAATCCGCAGCCACTGCAGTATGAATTCGATTCCTGGCTGGCCAGTGAGCTACCTACATGGCACAGCAGACCTCGCCTGTCTCGCCTGCTGCTCCTCTCAGCAGTGTATTTCAGTCAGTCTGCCTGTTCTGTTCCCTGCTCTGTCTCTGGTGAATCCTCTCACCCCCCGCACCTCTGGCCTGTACTCCAGTTCTTGTATGCATAAGTAATTCCATCTAAAGAAATAAAACAATTTAAAAAATTAAAAAATGAAGAGGATCAATTTATTGTGATATTTTGGTGTATGGGATATGAGTACAGCCATTATTAAATGAAAAAAAAAGTCACCAAACTATATAAACCTAATTTATTTTAAAAAGCAAAACCATACCTTAAAAAAAAAAAAAAAAAAGGGACATAAGATTTGAAAAAATAACTGGAGAATAAAGTTTTAGGGAAAAAAACTTGTAAAGGGACAGATGTTGACATGACATTCTTTTTTTTTTTCAAGTTTATTGAGAATTATTTACTTGTAACAACAACATGCATTTAATTTGTGCATTTAGATGGATTTTGACAAATATATACATCTATGAAATTGCCTATCAAAATATTCAACATTTCTCTCACCCTCAGAAGTTTCCTTGTGTTCCTTGGCAATGTGTCTCTTTTTCTCCTCTGTCCTTCGGCAGCTGTTGATCAGCTTTCTCTTATATAGATTTATTTGCATTTCTTAGAATTTTACATAGATAAAAATCACACAGTATGTACTCTTTTGTTTCTGACTTCTTTCACTCATAATGATCTGAGATTTGTCCATATTATTGGCATATGTCAGTAATTTCTTTTTATTGCTGAATAGTATATGATTATATGGATATATCATATTTTGTATTCATTTGCTCTCTGATGGACATTTGGGTTGTTTCCAGTTTTTGCGTACCACCTATAAAGCTACTGTTAACATTCATGTACAAGTCTTTGTGTTGTACATGTTTTCTTTTGTATAAATATCTAGGACTAAAGTGGTTGTATGGTAAGTATATTATTAACTTTTTAAGAAACCGCCCAACTGTTAATCAAAATGGCTGTACAATTTTATATTCCTAACAGTAGTGACTAGTGAGAATATGACTCAGTTCTTAAATTTCCAAGTAAATCATTGAAACATGTGACATGATGATTGTAATAAGCCAACATATTAACCTTACTCTAGGTTTGTTTGTATGATTGAAGTAACTAATGCATAAAACGTACTTAGCACGAGTAAATGCTCAGTATCTGTTAGTGTTATCATTATTATAATAATTTGTTAATTTAACTTCTTTGTTTATTAGTACATTAGTGATTTTTTTTGACAGACCAAAAATAAACAATTTGGCTCTTAAAAGATCAAAGTCACGTATATAAAAAATATTCACAATCGTAAAATCATTCTTAAAATAAAAATTCTTTTTTTCCCTTTTGGTGTGGGTAGAGAGTGGTGAGGTTTAAGGAATTGATTATCTAGTATTGTAGTAAAACAACAGTTGAGTTTTGTAACTGTTGTAGTTGTAGTCTTTATGTATCTTTTTTTTTTTAAAGATTTATTTATTTATACAAGAACAGGGGTGCACAGGCCAGATGTGCGGGAGGGTGAGAGGATTCACTAGAGACAGAGTGTGGAACAGAACAGGCAGACTGACAAAATACACTGCTGAGGGGAGCAGCGGGCGAGACAGGAGAGGTCTGCCACAGAGGCTGTGGACAGCTTCACAGCACTGCGCTCTACCACCTGCGCCACCAGGGAGGCCCTGTATCATTTTTTATTTCAGTGATAGCTCTTAAAAGGTGACCTTTCATTATGTACTGTTTAATGATGAGTGTCAAGGTCTGAAAAAGTATAATCAATTCAGAGTTGATTATAACATTTGTGAAAAGACATTTACATTACATTGACTTATACTTACGTGAAGTATTTTTACTACACAGAAACAACACCTTCACTTTGGGATGTGGAATTTGCTAAGCAGTTAGCCACAGTAAATGAACAGCCCTTTCAAAATGGCTTTGAAGAGATGATCCAGTGGACGAAAGAAGGGAAACTCTGGCAGTTTCCAATTAATAATGAAGCAGGTAAGTTTTACTTTTAGAGGTTTATAAAATTCACTGATTATATTATTTCTGGCAGATGTTCAGTTACAGGATCTACAATTATATGAATTTCAAAAATTTGTCTAAATATCTTCATGTGATCCTAAAAGAATCTTACAATGTTCTTAAAAACAATGTTGGAATCTCACTTAATTCTAGATGTTTGATAAGAAAAATGAGGAAGGGGGCCTCCCTGGTGGCGCAGCGGTTGAGCGCTGGGTTGCGAAGCTGCCCGCGGCCTCTGTGGCGCCGGTTCGATCCCCGGCTGCTCCCCGGCCACCAGAGGAGGGTCCCACATGGCGGGCAGACCTCTCCTGCCGCCCTTGCCGCCCGCTGCTCCCCTCAGCAGTGTACTTCGGTCCTTCTGCCTGCTCTGCTCCCCGCTCTGGCTCTGGTGAATTCTCTCACCCTCCCGTGCTTCTGACGGTACCCAGTGCATGTATAAACAAAACAAACAAACAAACAAATAAATAAATAAAACATGCCTCTATTAAAAAAAAAGTTTAAAAAAAAAAAAGAAAAATGAGGAAGTAAAAAATTATATGACAAAATGGATTCTGAATTTCCATGACATAAATGCTGGAGAACTACAAATAATGACAGTTTTCTAGTTGCTAAGGAGATTACCTGGTAAATCTTCTAATACATTAAATAATGGGTGTAAGGTGGTACTTCAATTTTGGAGAATATTATAACTCTTAAAGTCTTATGTTGATTTATTTTATTCATGAAACCATTGCTGCATTTATGAAATGCAGGGTACTTGTACTCAAAGCCAACCAAAGCAAAACATTCAGACGCTTTGAAATTCTGTAAAACTCTTTGACTGCATAACTGGATACTTTAAACTATAATAAATTATTATTTCTTAGAAATTTAAACCATATTAAACTACATAACTGGATACTTTAAACTATAATAAACTATTATTTTCCTGGAAATTTTTTAGGAAAATGTGTTACTATGATAATTATCTTTTATTGCAATCTATGAAGACATCAGGTAAACATTTGCACCAAATTTTATAGATAAGTTTTCAACTCAACTAGATCCATTTATTTTTATGGAAGATTAGTTAAAAGTTACAAATACCAAAAAAGTTTTAGGAAAATGTAGTCCACTTTTTTTTTTTTATTTTGTATTATGCTGCCACTATTTTAATTCCTTATAACCTTTTGTTTGAATTGATAAGTGGAATGGAAGCTTAAAAATCAGAAATATTTAGCTTTATATCTTCATAAAGTATTACTTTGTACAGGAAAACTTTAGAGAGTTAAATAACCTGTAGCAATCGTTAATATTGCATATTTATATGGTCTTTACAGTAATATAAGTAGCATGCTATTGTCCATCTATTATATAACGTGTTTTTTAAGTTTGTTTGTTTTTTAAGATTGATTTATGCATACAAGAACTGGGGTATAAGCCAGAGGTGCGGGGCGTGAGAGGATTCACCAGAGACAGAGTGGGGAACAGAACAGGCAGATTGACTGAAATACAGTGCTGAGAGGAGCAGCGGGCAAGGCAGAAGAGGTCTGCTGCGCCATGTGGGTCACCTCCCTGGCCAGGGGATCAAACTCATCCTGCAGTGGCTGCAGATAGCTTCATAGGATGCATCTTAACCCCTTATGCCACCAGGGATGCCCTGATTTTTTTTTTTTTTTTTTTTCAGTGCATTCAAATGTTTCACATTTTTACTTCTCCTCCCAACATTGTATGTTTTTGTTATCTTGCTACATCTAGGTGGGATTCTTTTTATTTTATAGGAGTCCTTTTAGTATTTCTTGCAAGGCTGGTTTAGTGGTGATGAGTTCCTTTAATTTTCGTTTGTCAAGTTTTTTATCCATCCTTAAATTCTGATATACAGTCTAGCACAGTAGACTATAGTCAATTGGAAATCCATTTCTTTCAGTACTTTTAATATGCCATGCCATTTTCTTCTAGCCTACAAAGTTTCTGCCATGAAATCTGCAGATAATCTTATAGGGGTTTCTTTGTATATGATTTCTTTTTCTCTACATGAATTTAGTGTTACCTACTTTAGTTTTTACCACTTTGATTATTACATTTTGTAATGTTATATCATGAAATTTGGGTATTCTCGGTCCTCATGGTTAAAAACATGGCATTAAAACCCAGGACTGACGTAGAATAACATGTATTTTTTTTTTTTTTTTTTTTTTTTTTTGAGAAACAGTGAATTCAAGGTCCTGTGTGTTATAAACCTAATTCTTCAAGCCTTCCTTCCCCCATCTACAAAATGATGGGGATAATAATGGGACTAACCTTTATAAGATTCTCCTGAGGATAAAACATCATTACCATCATCACTCCTGTTTCTGTGAATGATTTGCTTTTAATTCTTTCCTATTTTTTAAATCTTAAAATATTAGCAAGGATATTACATAGTTTTTAGGAACAACCAAATAGGATAGTAGGAAAGCATGAATTGATGGTACATTGTTATCACCATTAAAAACAATTAAAAAAAACTAGCAACAACAAATGCTGGCGAGGATATGGAGAAAAAGGAACTCTCCTGTACTGCTGGTGGGAAAACTGGTCCAACTGCTATGGAAAGCTGTGTGGAGATTCCTCAACCTGCTAACAGTCGAACTTCCATATGATCCAGCAATTCCATTCCTAGGTATTTACCCAAAGGACACAGAAACATTAATTCAAAAGGGTACCTGCACCCCTATATTTATAGCAGCACTATTTACAATAGCTAAGCTATGGAAACAACCCAAATGCCCCCAAATAGATGACTGGATCAAGAGGATGTGGTACATATACCCAATGGAATATTCCTAAGCAGTCAAAAAAGATAAACTTATGCAATTTGCAGCAGCATAGCTGGAGCTGGAAGGGATTATGCTCAGAGAAATAAGCCAGAAAGAAAAAGAATACCAGATGGTCTTACACATAGCAGGAATTTAGAAAACCTAAATAAGGGACTAGGAAAAAGACTAATTATAATAAAGTCAAAATCAAAATCAACAAGCAACTATAAACCAGAGACACACTACTGGGGGGCAGAGGAGAGGAGGGAGTAGGATCAAAACAAGGAAGGTGGGAGTTGTATGGGAACTATAACTAAGATGAAAATGCATACATTGTGCAAAAATGAAAAATGATGTAAAAAAGGTATAAAATAAAAAAAAAACTTAAATTCACTAAAATCTTGAGTATCTAAATTCCAAAGGAAATTATCTTAAATTTGACTTGATTTATGAAAAAGATTAATTTCTACAAAAAGGACAAAAACCATGTTTTTTGGCCAGGGTGGGGAGATAAATGTGACACGTATCCATATATACACTGTACATATTATTGATGTTTCAGAGTCAGAAAGAGAAGGAACTCATTTCTAGCTCCTTAAGGCAATATTTATTTGAATTAAACACAAGAAAGGAACTTTGGAAACCTTATCACTTTGACCACTCACTCCCTCAATACACACTTAGTAACTACTTCAAGAGAGAAACATTAGCACCTAAGACCTCAGCAGTTGTTACTGTCTTTTATATTTCCTGTACTTAAATTTTTAAATTAATAAGCATGTTCATTGCTAATTAACTTCATAAAGATTTACTTTGATGCATCTGGGGAAAGATGTTTTAGGGGCTCACCATGTCATTTTTGGAACATAATTCTGAAAATGACAAAATTATATGCCCTTTGTGTATAGTTTTATCTCCCAGTGTTGTGTTTTTCTTTTTTATAACTATAGTTTATTGTTCTGCCACTAAAAATGTGTAAATTATTTTTTCAGCAAAGTAGCTTTTTTTCAGTTTTTGTTTTCAGAACTGGTTTCTTCCTGATGTCCTTTGCCACAATGGAAACTTTACAAGAACTATTAAGTGGAATTGTTCCCACCTATAAAGTGATTTTATTTTAGTTTTGACTTTGATTTTAACCAAATTTATTTATACTTTTTACTACCACTATGCAGTTAATAGAGTCTTGCTGTTCAGTATCCATTAGCCTTCTCTCTGTGCCAAATTTAAGTGTATTTTTTGAATGTTCTCCAAGAATAATTTTCAGTTTAAGGTTTTGGTGGACAGGAAATCTCAGTCATGGACATTAATCATATTTTTGTATTCTTCAGTTAGTTTAAAGTTAGTTTAAATTTAGTTTAAATTTTCATTTCTAATGTGCCCTATTTTGCTTGGATAGTTGTAATATATTTTGTAATATGAGCTAGCAAGATTAGTCATAAAAGTTCAAAATGACCATCATACTCTACAGAGGGCTCTTTTTATATTGAAGTACTAGATAATGGAGAAAACTGGGGCAAGTATAAAGATTAATAGATGTGGGCCTCCCTGTCGGTGCAAGGGGTTAAGCACAGCACTGTGAAGCTATCCACAGCCTCTGCAGCACGAGTTTGATCCCTGGCTGGCCAGGGAGCTACCCACATAGCACAGTAGACCTCTCTTGTCTCACCCGCTGCTCCCCTCATCAGTGTATTTCAATCAGTCTGCCTGTTCCACACTCTGTCTCTGGTGAATCCTCTTACCCCGCCCCCCACGCCATCTTATTTTATTTATGTATTTTTTAGTGTTGTTTATATAGTTTCCTAAGAGGTTGCTTTGGATGTTAAAATATTTATAGCGTCAGGCTGTTATACTTTAAACATTTACTATATGCTAACTAAAGTTTTGCATCTATTCTTTACAAAAGCTCCATGAAGAAGATGCTTTTTAATCCTTATATTATGCCTGCGGAAACTGAGTTCAGAGAAGTTAATTTGCCCAGCCACACAGTCATCAAATTGGTGGGCAAGCCTCGGTTTCACTCCAAAATTTATACTTTTAGTTAATATACTATATTACCTCATTAGTGTTAATTTTCTGATGTAAGACATTCAAAATTATAATGTAAAGGTTTTTTTGTTTTTGTTGTTTCATGCCCTAGGTTTTGATGATGATGGTTCTGAATTTCATGAACACATATTTCTGGATAAATACCTGGAGGATTTTCCAAAGCAAGGACCAATTCGTCACTTCATGGAGCTAGTGACCTGTGGCCTTTCTAAAAACCCGTATCTGAGTGTTAAACAGAAGATAGAACACATAGAGTGGTTTAAAAATTATTTTAATGAAAAACAGGACATTCTAAAAGAAAGTGACATACAGTTGAATTGAATATCATGGAAACTTTATTTTAAGTTGGCAATGGATATTATAACTAAATAAAGTAATTTTACTAGATGTTTGCCTTTATGTGTTAATTACAGCATCTGATTTGAATGGTATAAATGTTGTTTTAAGAGTATGTAAAGGTAACTATAAAATATTCTTGCATGGAAAAACAAATATTCATGGATTCAACTAGTAATTCTTAATGAAAAGAATGTCTTACAATTAGTAATAAGCTGAGACAACGTCCTCTAACCATTTTCATTCAGTGACTATACTTTGAAATATAATTGTCAGACATATCTGATGACATCAGAGTGCTGTATCAGTTGAGGTGAGTTATATGCATATACATACTATATATTCACATATATATATTTTATATATTTCACACTAAATTTAAAGGACACGTGACTTAGTCTGGGTCACTATAGAGAAGTAACCTTGTATAAATAAATGACTTAGCCTATCACTCCCAGTACTTTAGGCTTTCACGTCAAAGTTAGAAGGATTATCTTCTATTATGGTGCTTAGAAATGTGATTCAAATTCACACAGCTCAGTAAGGATTGAGTAGTCTTAAGAATCTCGAAACAATTTTTTTTTTTTTTACCGTTTTGTATTCCAGGCCTCTGACAAACAAATAAAAATGTGAAAGGGCCTCCCTGGTGGTGCAGGTGGTTGAGCTCAGTGCTGTGAAGCTGTCCGCAGCCACTGCAGTGCAGGTTCAATTCGTGGAGATACCCACAAGGCGTGGCAGACCTCTCCTGTCTTGCCCGCTGCTCCCCTTAATAGTGCATTTCTGTTGGTCTGCCTGTTCTGTTCCCTGCTCTGTCTCTGGGCTGTAGCAGAGAGGGCTGTACCCCAGCTATTGTATAAATAAATGTTTAAAAAAAATTTAAAAATACAAAATAAAAATGTGAAAAAGCCTACAGTAAACCCAAGCTTCAAATGATGAACACATTAAGGTAACAAAGCACCATGAATGCACACCACCACCACCATCAAAAAAAAAGTAGGGCCTCCCGTGGTGGTGCAGGTGGTTGAGTGCAGTGCTGTGAAGCTGTCCGCAGCCTCTGCAGTGCGGGTTTGATGCCCTCCAGCCAGTGAGGGTCCCACATGGTGCAGTAGACCTCTCCTGTCGCCCCTGCTGCTCCCCTCAGCAGTGTGTTTCGCCAGTCTGCCTGTTCTGTTCCCCACTCTGTCTCTGATGAGTCCTCTTGCCCTCCCGCGCATCTGGCCTGTACCCTGGTTCTTGGAGAAATAAATCTTAAAGGAAAAAAAAAAAGGTAGAAGCCCAGACAATAGCACTAAAATTGTCTGTTTAGTCCTTTTGCTAATTTTTTGATTGTGTTATTTTCATAGTTTTATGAGTTCTTTATATATCTTTATTATCAGTCCTTTGTCAGTAGTATGGTGTGCAAATATTTTTATTTTGAAGATTTTTCAAAAATTTATGCATAAAAGAACTGGGTCTAGGCCAGAGGTGCGGGGGTGAGAGGATTCACCAGAGACAGAGTGAAGAGTAGAACAGGTGGCTCTACTGAAATATACTGCTAAAGGGAGCAGCAGGTGAGACAGGAGAGATCTGCTCCATGTGGGTCAGCTCCCTGGCCAGAGATCAAACTCAGGTCACTGGTGATAACCCTGAGACTTAACCCCTAGGCCACCAGGGACTCCCTTATTTTCTCCCATTCAGTAGGGTGTCTTTTCATTTTAGTTATGGTTTCTTTTGCTGTGCAGAAGCTTTTGATGTAGTCCTAGCTGTTTATGTTCCCTCTTGTTTTCCATATTGTTGGGGACAAATCCCTAACGGCATCACTAAAGCTTATGTCATAAAATGTTTTGCCTATGTTTTTTTCTATGAATTTATGGTTTCAGGTTTTACATCCAAGTTTTTGTTTCATTTTAAGTTGATTTTGGTGAATAGTGTGAGATCGTGGTTTAGTTTCATTCTTTTGCATGCAGCTATCCGGTTTTCCCAGCACCATTTATTGAAGAGGCTATCCTTGTTCCAGTGTATGTTTTTGGCTTCTTTTCATAGATTAGCTGCCCATATATATATATGGTTTTATTTCTGGGCTGTCATTTCTATTCCACTGGTTTGTGTGTCTGTTTTTGTTCCAGTACAGGGCTGTTTTAATTATTGCGGTTTTATAATATAGCTTGAGGTCTGGAAGTGTGATACTGCCATTCTCTTTTCTTCTTTGTCAAGATTGCTTTTGCTATTTGGGGTCTTTTGTGGCTCCCATATGAATTTCGGTAGTGTTTGCTCCAGTTCTTTGAAATATGCCATTGATATTTTTTGGGGGATTACGTTGAAACTGGCTATTGCTTAGGGTAGAATGACCATTTTGACAATATTGATTCTCCCAAATCATGAGCAGGGAGTATTTTTTCTATTTCTTTGTGTCTTCTATTTCTTTCAACAATGTCTTATAGTTTTCTTTGTATAGATCTTTTGCCTCCTTTGTTTTACTGCTAGGTATTTATTTATTTATTTTTGGTGTAATTGTAAATAGGATCCCTTTCTTAATTTCTTCTCATTGTTTGTAAACATTCGTCCTTTGACTTGTAAACTCAAGATTAATTTTTTTAAGTAGAGGATAAAACCTTGCTTATACAGTGGCGATAACTAGAAATTGCAAAGATTAAAGTATTTTTTCAGGAGGCTATTAACTTCATGGCAACAAATTTGAAAGCTTTTGAAATGTGCAACTTTCTCAAACTATACTATTAAAATCATTGATAAAGAAAAATGTAATAACCATTAAAAAATTTGGATCTCCATTTTAAAAATTGCATAAAGAAAAAATAAGATCAGGCCATTTCTCAGAAACTTCTACTCATTCAAAAAAGCAAATAATTCCCATCTTAAACAAATTATACCAAAGCATAGAAAAAGATGGAACACCCTAACTCAATTTCAACAGACTAGAATAAAAAAAGGGAAATCTCAATCATGAAGACACTTTTGAGATAACCAAAACAAAATAGCAAAGTAAATCCAGCAATAAATTGATAGAAATAATCAAGCTGAATTGATTTCAGGAATGCAGGAGTAGTTTTAATGGAAATATATATATCATCTCAAAGGATGTAGAAAGAAATGGATAAAATTCAGTCATTTGTAATAGTACTAATCTTAGAAACCTTGAAGTAGAACTTCCTTAACTTGTAAATGGCATTCACAAAAAACCTAAAACAAGCACCTTAAGAGGAATCGCTAAACCGTTGCCTTTGAGATGATAAACAGGACCATAATTTCTTTTCAATATTATATTGGAGACTAATGTAGCAAGAAAAAAGTATATATAAGCTATTAGGATTGGAGGTTCATCTTAAGGTAACCTCCCATGAATCATATCTCTCTGTGAGAGTGGGCAGAGCCTGGGACTTCTAGCAAGCAGAGAATGTGATGGAATTAGTTTTCTTGTGATTATGTTATGAAAAACTCCTTGTGAGCCAACTGAATGAGAACTCTACTGCCTTTGAAGAATTAAATTGTCATGTTGTGAGAAGACCTGTGAATGGGCCACTAGTTGCTGAGTGTAACCCACAGCTGACAGCCAGCAACAAAATCTTCAGTTGTAGGGCTTCAAATAACTAAATGCAACCAATAGCCATGTCAGCTGGGAAAAGGACCTCACGCTCTAAAAAGGAATGCAGTATGGCTGACACCTTGTGAGGCCCTGTGCCAGGAACCCAGCTTAAGTGAGTGACTTACAGAAACTGAGAGATAAGAAGTATATGCTATTTTAAGTCACCGATTTTGAGATAATTTGCACATATCAATAAATAATATAGAAAGGGAAAAAACAAAACTCATGATTAGAAAATCTATGTAGAAAACTAGAGAACCTATAAATCAGAAGAGTAATAGAGTTTATTAAGTTTATAGTTGCATTTCTGCATATCAGGCACAAATAAAATATAATTTATAAGATACCAATTATAGGGCCTCCTTGGTGGCGCAAGGGGTTAAGGCAAAACCTATGAAGCTATCCAGAGCCACTGCAGCATGACTTTGATCCCTGGCCAGGGAGCAACCCACATGGCCCAGCAGACCTCTCCGGACTCGCCTGCTGCTCCCCTCAGCAGTGCATTTCAGTGGAACTGTTCCCCACTCTGTCTCTGGTGAATCCTCTCACCCCCTGCAGTTCTGGCCTGTACCCCAGTTCTTGTATGCATAAATAAATACATCTTTTAAAAAAATACATATGAATAAAATCTTAGTGATAATGTAAGCACTGTATAAAGAAAATGTTCTAGGGCCTCCCTGGTGGTGCAAGGGATTAAGTTTCAGCACTATGAAGCTTTCAGCAGCCACTGAGGCGTGAGTTTGATCCCCAGCCAGGGAGCTAACCCATATGGCCCAGCAGACCTCTCCTGTCTTGCCTGCTGCTCCCCTCAGCAGTGTATTTCAGTCAATCCACCTGTTCTGACGCCACTCTGTCTCTGGTGAATCCTCTCACCCTCCCACCCCGCACCTCTGGCCTATACCCCAGCTCATGTATGCATAAATAAATAAATCTTTAAAAAAAAAATGAAAATGTTTTAAAACTTTAATGAAACATGGCCTCCCTGATGGCTCAGAGTTTTAAGTCTCAGCACTATCAAGCTATCACCAGCCACTATGACCTGAGTTTGAGCCCCAGCCTGGAGCTAATCCACATGGCTCAGCAGACCTCTCATATCTCACTAGCTGCTCCCCTCAGCAGAGTATCCACCTGTTCTGCTCTCCATTCTCTGGTGAATCCTCTCACCTCCTGCACCTCTGGCCTATACCCCAGTTCTTATATGCATAAATAAATAAAATAAATCTTAAAAAACCCAAAATAAAACAGAAATAGACCAATTTCCAGCATATGGAAACCTAACAGATGACAAAGTTAGCATTGCTGATCTATGGGAAAAGAATGGAAATTCAATAAATGGCCATAGGGCAATTGGTTTTCCACATGAAAGAAAAAAGTAAATTCTCTACTTCACACTATACGGGAAAAAAAATCCAATTCAGGACTTAAGTGTGAAAGATAAAATTTAAAGCAAAAATATCAGAATATCTTTATGGCTCTGATGTAGACAAGGATTTAAAATA